ATGAACAAAATAAACATCCTGGATATCTTAAAAGTTGCCAGTTTGTTGAGAAACCTTATCACCATGAATAAAATTCATAGATTCATATACTCCTCGATACATATGTGCAGTTGTCAAACACATTTAAAGTTCCCTTCTTCATACTCCAGCATGAATCTGCTTTCCTGACATTTTCAAATATGTAAACCCGACAACCTTTTCTGACCTTTCTCAAAGGACGTCACAGTTAGCTAGAAGTCGGCATGTTTAGCAAACCCTGCAGAACAGCATCTGTGCATCCAGCTCACTCATGTGGATAACAAGAAGAAATGCAACAGCACTTGTCCCAAAACTGAGCCTTAATTGTTTGTTAAGCAACCTTTCAGGAACCTTTCAATCAGTATCAGTCTCTGAAAACACCCATTTATATGTAACAAACTGAAACTTGCTTTACATTCAGCACAGAACCTCACGGCTGGCAAGAAACTTGAGTGCCCTCAAGCAAACAAATGCTCCATCATCTGCCTTTTCCAAACTTTAAATCTCTGAATGTCAGGAATATTCTCCTCCCTCTTCAGTGCAAGTTCCCGTCTGTAGGCCGAGCCACCGTGCTAAAACCAAGTCTCAAGATGCCAATGCTTCTGTGATCTAGTCCGCCGCTAAAAAGCCAAGGTACAGAAGGAAAACATTGGGGCCAATCGATGGCCTGACAAGGCAAATATCAGACTTGGCCATGGGGCAGCAATTCAAAGTGTCCAACAGACAGAAATCATTCTGCAGTGAAAAGCTAGGCATGCTAAATGCTAATGAGCTTGTTTGAAAAGGTCTCCGCATCTGGGATTTGTTCATTCATCAACAGAATACTTTATTCACAGAAAGTAACATACTGTAAACTTTTTTCTACTCATCTGATTCTGTTAGGCATAAAATTTAGTTTAAATATCCCAGTTGAATGTAAGTAAATACGCACATGGCTGTCAAAACTGTTACAGTTTTATTACTTGTTTTTATTGTTCACAGTGAATTTGATCTTCAAATAGGTATTAAACATGCTTAGAAAGATTTTATGTCCTGGCTTCATAGTTCCTAAAACCCTTTAATCATCTTTATAATAATAATTAACAATGTTTTACCACTTCGAAAAATATTATTTCCAAAAATTTATTTTTGGGTTGGAACTTAATTTACATTTATAGTAAAACTGAATAATTGAGTTGATTTTAGATTTTAAAAATGTGTTTATTCAGGCAAACAGGAATGAATAAAAAAAAAAAATCAAACAATTAAGTTTCAGTCAAAATACCTCAGCTTTCAGACAAGTTTCAACACATCAAAAAAAAAAGGAATGGGAAAAAATACAATCAGTTAAAATGAGAAACTCCTAAATTCTGCAACACATTGCCAACATATTCTAATGATTAACTGTGCAGAGTGAGGAGTTGCACACACACAAAAAAAGTTTATTTTGATAACCTTATTGCAGGGTTAAAGCTAATGTGTCATAGGTTGGGTGTCAATGTTTCACTCATCAGTTAGGTCAGATGTGAGTCTAGTTATTTTTCACAGTTCGGCATGTTAAGCCAAAGGATGACCAAATCAGATCTAACTAGACCTCTATTTTAGGATGCAATAAATAAAGATGGTAAAACAACTTGTAGAAAAAGTTTAACCTGGTCGGCTTTGTTAATAATTTCAGTTTACACTAAAAAATGAGTTTGGTTTCCTAAAATAACATTAATTTGTGCTATAGCTAGCTGATGCTAATAGTGGTTTGTGCCAGCTGACCAGCAGCAACTTGTTGTAATTATCCAAGAACACAGATTTTGGGTTGTTCTTTTTTAACTCCACTTATTGGGGACTGCCTAAAGCAGCCACATATTATTATCCACCTGACAAGAGTTTCTTAACTTTATGTCTTACTCTTCCGTCAACTTTAATGCGGCCCAAACCGCAATGTGTACCCCCATAAATGTTTTATCAAAACGACCTCGGCACCGTGATGTGTGCTATGACTTTTATTGTCATTTCGAGTTACCATGGCAACTTAATTTGCAAACAAAGACGCCATTTTTCTCATTCAAAATACCTGATGGAACTCTAAAATGTCTGCCATGCGGCAGTCCCCAAGTTTCTCCAGGAACTTTGTAGCTCTAGTTCAACTAATTATTCTCTTTAACCTAGTTTTGGGTGGCAAACATAACTAAGTATGCTGGGTCAAGCTGATAACCCGGCCATGCTGAGATAAAACTATCCAGGACCTACAGTTCAAGCTTGTCCCAGCACTGGGTTGCAAACTAAAGTTGTTTTAAACCCAACAGTTTTTATTGTGTAGCTGTGGCTACACCTTATGTCTAACAGGTTGCAGAAATTACATTTAGAGGACTAAAGTACTACAGTATTTGTTATCTTTTAAGCTTTTGTGAACTCAGTTATAGTTGCCAGCTCTACTACCAGTAATTGGCTTCTGTTTCTGTAAATTTCCTTGAAAATATGGGTAGTCGCACATTGCAAGGTTTTTTCTTCTTCTTTGGCTTGTTTAAAAGTGTTGTTGCTTATTTAGGCTTACTCCAGATCAACATGTGTCCACCTAACAAAAATCCCAGTTGTTCCATCAGTTTGTCATCAAAAAAAGAAATGTGTTGCATGAAAAGCTTCCTAACTTCAAATTCAAATCATGCTGTATTGGCTGTTTTGTTGGTGTTATTGTTGTTGAGTCGAGGCTTAAATTTGCACATCCAAACTACGGTATAATAAATGGTTAGCAGTGACCTAAAACTCCTAATTAAAACTAGAAAATTTGCATATATCCAAACAAACAGTCCACTAAACATGTAAGGTGTTTATGACAGTACAAAAACATCTCATTATTTTCATTTGCAACTAGAGCACAGGTTTGGAAAACCTAAAGAAATTTAATTGTTTCATTAAAGCATCAACCTACAGCTATTTATATTTAATGTATACACTATTTTTTAAAAATTAAACAAAATGCAATAAAGCTTTGTGATATTTGGACCTCTACAACTACCATAGCCACAGGCAAGCTTTGCAAGTTGACCTTTTAGATAGGCTAAGTGCCACTGGAGCAAAGCCAGGCTTAAACAGGATCCAAACAGATGGCAGAACCAGCCACAGACGGGTCACACAAACACATTCGTTCATTCAGCAGGCGCGCAACGACTGAGACAACCTATGGTGCTGCCACCTGTTTTAGCACGCCTCACAATTTCACCATATTTCAAGAGTCCTCTGCTCATTGCAACAACTCTCTTTTCCTGCACTCCTCAAGCAGCACTAAGATGGATCATTCATTTTTCTTTGTATTTTTATTTCTTTGTCTTCATCTTCATCCTACACCTCCATCTACACAATTCTTCCTTATACACTGTGTACCACAAGCCTCCAAGTCCCTAAAGGACACTGCAAAGTAGGCTTAAAAAAAATGTAATGCAAAGCTTTGATGTGCTCAACTTCGTTCAAAAATATATTCCAGTTTTCTGCTGTTTAGAAGAAATGGAATGACTCAATGGGATGATCTCGGGGTTACATATTGATCATTTAGTTGTGATAGATTGAAGTCAGCCCACCTCTGATTCATTCTCAAGCACATTTTGCACACTTTCTTTCCCGTTTTCTTATCACGAAAGTAACCTTACAAAAGGTAGCTGATGCTTGTTTATTTTCTGGGGAAGATCTCAGTCGTCCAGGTCATGATCGATACAAAAAAGGCTTCAAAAACAAAAACAACTGAGCTTCTGTTCTGAAGATGTTTCATTACACACTCCAGACATTTTAGAATTGATAAAAACTTCCAGATGGGAGATGAAATGTCTTCGGCTTCAGAATAGAAGTCCATTTCTTTTTAATATTGTTTATTTTAAACTACTGTATATGATAAAAAAGGCAAAGTCACAAATAAGTAACACATAAAAGCCAATAATTCTGTTGGGTAATCTGGACAGTTTCCTTTGTACAGAGACGTTTCGCCCTCTATCCGAAGGGCTTCATCAGTCAGAGGAGTTCCAGTAAACTGTTTCCCCACCAAGCAGTAAACTCCTTAAGTGGACCAACCAGTTTGCTGGAGCTAAGATGGTTTCTGGGGGCCGTCCTGTCCCTCGTCGACTCCTCCCAGGCTGACAGCCACAGCCAAAGTGGTTCAAGGCAACAAAGTTCATGCCCAGTCATCCAGGTACCAAATCCAATAATTCTCAGTCAAGTCAACTGGACAGTTTCTTTTGTATAGAGACGATTTGCCCTCTTGGTGCTTGGTGGGGAAACAGTTTACTGGAACTCCTCTGACTGATGAAGCCCTCCGGATAGAGAGCAAAACATCTCTATACAAAAGAAACTGTCCAGATGACCCGACTGAGAATTATTGGATTTGGTACCTGGATGATTGAGCATGAACTTTGTTAACACATAAAAGGTTTTCTTTATGAGAAGTCAGAACAAAAATACTGAACAGAAATGTGTTCACTTTGTGAGAGCAGAGACTCATGGGAAAATTATGGGATGGACTCAGTGGTGACGTCCAACACCAGACAAATACAGAAACGAAGCCAATAACAAAAATAAAACATTTCCCAAAACCCAAAATCAGCCTGTCACTGGGGTCTTTGGTTTCTGTTCAGGCACAAAACAAGAAACTTTGTCTTTATCATTTTCACTAACTTAAATATTCTTGCAGTTTGTCAGAAGTTATTGAACTTTGTATTAAATGAGACGTTTAGTTTTCTTAAATTGAAACAAGTTTTAAAAAATGTAGTTTAATGTTGGAAACATTAACCCTGTAGGTTAGCTCAGAAAATGCTTGAAATGTAGTCAAGATGGCTCATATTGGGTTTAAAGCAAATTTATTTGTTTTTCTTAATTCATCTTTTAAACCTTATAATTCTACTATAACATGTCATTTAAATGAATATACTGTAGCCATTTCAGGTGTGCTGCATTTCATTCAAAACGATAAACAAAACTTGTTAAATAAAAAAATTGGTAAGAAAAGCACCTAAAAAGTGACATACCTTTATGTATTGCTCAAGCTGTGGATAGACTCTTCTCACCCTGAGGATGGTGGAGAAAAAAGCCCGATGAGGGATTGAGGTTGTGACCACATGTGTGATTTCAGGGAAGGAAAACACATTAAAACCAGATGCCTTGCAGCGTTTTAAAAGTTCCTCGTCAACTTGGTTTTCTCCCTCACTAAGAATACAGCCAACGGCGTGGCGACAGTGTGGTCCAGGTATCTGTAAAGAAGAAGCAAGCAAGTAAATAATAAATAAAGTTTCATGATAAAATTTAGTACATTTAAACAGTGTATACTCATAGACAAAAATAGATAGAAAACCTGTTCTACAGTGTTGCTAAAAAAACTAATTATAAAGTGTTGACTGAGAAGAAAGCTCTCAGAAATTAAGTTTCTCAGATCACACTATTGGTTGTTTCTCTAATCATCTCTCAGATTGGAGGCAATGTGTTCAACGTAACAGCACTTCTTCCAGCTATCTGTTAACAATGGTGTACCACAAGGTTCAGTCTTAGGACCCACCCTCTTCACAATCTACATAAGTAATGTAGGTCAGGTCATCCCTGATGCATCCTTACATTTCTATGCCAATGACACAGAAGTTTATTGTTGAGCTAGAACAGTTGCTAAGTTTTTCCAGCTTTTAGTCTTCTTTTGACAACAGATTTGTTCCGTTTAAAACTTGTGCTAAATGATGACAAATCCAAAGGAATGGCGTTTTCAGAGTCAGTCAGAGTCAGAGTCAGAGTTTCTTTATTGTCATTCGCACCTCATGTGGTACATGTGGTGGAGCGAAATTATGTACACAGGGTCCCAGTTACATCCAACAATAAAATGTATAAGAAAAACAGTAATAACATCTAAGATATGAACTAAGAAAAACATCAACTAAATATACACTAAGCACTCATAACATAAAACATTGAACATCACCACAAACATGAACATGAGTCTGTGAGCAGATGTGCACGCATGAACACATCAATATTGAAACAGATCAGCAGCAACATGAAACAGATCAGCAGCAACATGATATGGTTTTACACAGTGATTATTCTAGTTAGAGATTCATGAGTCTAACAGCCTCAGGGTAGAAGCTGTTCCTCAGTCTAGTGGTTCTACACTTAATGCTCCTTAACCTCCTTCCTGAGGGGAGTGGGGCAAAAAGTGTGTGTGCTGGGTGGGTGGGGTCCTTCATGATGCAGGTGGCCCTCTTCCTGCATCTGGAGGTGTAGATGTCTGTGATGGTGGGGAGACTGATTCCAACAGATTTCTGTGCAGCCTTCACCACTCTCTGCAAAGCTTTTCTTTCTGCAGCTGTGCAGCCTCCATGCCACACATTGATACTCGAGCACAGGATGCTCTCCACTGCACACCTGTAGAAGGAGGTGAGGACTGAGCTTCCCAGACCAGCTCGCCTCAGCCGTCTGAGGAAGTAGAGTCTCTGATGAGCTTTCTTGATCAGGCTGGTGGTGTTGTTGCTCCAGCTGAGGTTGTCATTCATGTGTACACCCAAGTACTTGTAGCTGGAGACCACTTCCACCGCAGATCCTCTTATGTTCAGGGGGGTGTAGGTGTTTTTGTTCCTTCTGAAGTCCACAATCATCTCCTTTGTCTTCTTCACATTGATGTGAAGGTTATTCTCTCTGCACCAGCTCTCCAGGTGTTCCACCTCTTGCCTGTAGCTGGACTCATCATTGTTTGTGATGCATCCCACCACCGCTGTATCATCTGCAAACTTTACAATGTGACAGCCTGGATGGGTAGCTGCACAATCATATGTGAGCAGAGTAAACAGAAGGGGGCTCAACACACATCCCTGAGGAGAGCCAGTGCTGAGGGTTATGGTGGAGGAGGAGAGGTTGTGGATCCTCACTAACTGTGGTGTTTGTTAAAAAGTCTAGTACCCAGTTGCAGATGGAGGGGCTTAGTCCTAGTGTGGATAGTTTGTCCATCAGGGTTTGGGGGATCATGGTGTTGAAGGCGGATATGAAGTCCACAAAGAGCATACGGACGTAAGAGTTTTTCTGCTCCAGGTGGTTGAGTGCAGTGTGGACCACAGAGGAGATTGCATCTTTCAAACAGGAAGTCAGTACCAGAAGTTCTTCCTTCTATTTTATCTTCAAATGGTGTTCTTATTGAGTTTGTCGATTCTTATAAATACTTGGGTATCTTGGTCGATTCGCATCTGTCAAAAACTTGGTAAAGAAATTGAAAGTAAAACCGGGTTTCAACAATTTTCAGTCGCCATCTGGACTGTTTCTTTTTGTTTTTTTGTGCAGAAACATTTCACCGGACTTTGTTGGTTAAAACTGACTTTCTTTTTTAGAAATAGATCCTAACTTTGAATGCTAGGAAACGCATTGCAACTGCTACCTTCCTTCCCTCTATTGACTTTGGTGACATTACTTACATGAATGCTCCTACAAGCACTCTGCATATGTTGGATGCTGTCTATCACGGTGCTCTAATATTCAAAACTTGCTGTAACTACCGTACCTATCACTGCACCCTGTATTCGCTGGTTAACTGGTCATCATTAACTTCACGCAGACTCTCTCACTGGTACATTTTCATCTTTAAATCACTTCTTGGTCTGTTGACTCCATACATCTCCTAATATAGGTCAATCTGCGAGTGCAGCTACAGCGTGCACTCTCAGGATATAATTACTTGCAGTGTACCCTCAGTGCGGACCAAACTAGGCAAAAGAGTCTTCTCTTACTCCTGTAACCTGGAACACCTAGCAAAAGGATCTGAAGCTCTCGACCTTGACCTCTCCAAGTGATTTTAAACAACTGCTGAGTTTATGGCAAAGACAACGCAGACATGTTCCAGTTTTTAGCATTTTACATCGCTTTATAATGTAGACAATTTGTTTTGTTTTTATATCCATCTATCTATCCATCCATCCATTATCTTTTGCTTGTTCCGAAGTCAGGTCGTGGGGGCAGCAGTGTAGTGTGCTAAAGGCTAGGTTAGCTGCACCTCCACTACAATATATTTAAATAAACGGGTTCTCTCTTTTTCGATTTAAATTACTGCCATGTGACTGAGGTAACTGTGCGTGGATTGTTTAATCAGTGACATGAGACGTTAATTTACTTTGACCCATCAGAATAAATGTGGTCATTTATTGAACAGAATCAAAATTTAACATCAAAACATTGTACACTTGATTAGCTGATCTGGTTCTGATTAATAAAACTTGGCACGTTTTACTTAATAAAACAACAGGACTTGAAGAAGGCATCTAGACTATTGGCAAAATAGAAGAGTTTAAAGATGGGAAATTAAGGAGTTTAAATGGAGAGAAAAGATGGATGAGGGAAAGTGTGTTGACCAGGAGTGGCACCCTTCATCCGACCCCAGCTCAGCCCCGGTACACTCGGTGCGTGACGACTCGTTACCTTTGCAGAAGATAGGTCAGCTCTGGTACAGAGGTCCATTTCAACGCTACCTTTCAGCGTCTCCGGTCAGGGTGGCTGAGAATCGTCCGAAGTAGTGACGGTACTCCGTTCAACAGAATAAGCTTCCTTAGAAGTGGTAGGGCGTTACGCCCGGGTGAGTTCACAGCGAGGCGCTGTGACTACAGCTGGGATGGACGGACCCTCATCTCACGGTCAAATCCATCAGCTATTGATTAAATCTGAAAGTTCCTTAGGAACTCTCAGGAAGTCTTCAGTCAGAGATTCCACTCAGAAGTGGAGGACTCCATGAAAGACTGAAGAAGACCCCAGGAAGACTCCGGTCAAAGACTCAAGAAGACTGAAGACTGAGAAGTTCCAGGAAGTGTGGACTCTTAAAAGAGTTCTCACTTCCGGTCACTTCAGGACTTCCTGATTGGTTGAAACAACCAACAGGGGGTAGTTCTAGTGATGTCAGAGGGTCATTACAAGTCAAGAAAACAGCAGGAATATTTTAGAAACGTCCAGTACAGACAGAAGACATGTTATGACGATGTGAGAGCAAGCAAGTGCCAGTAGCTTCTTATTTACCGTCTGCTAGGTTTAAAAACAATCCACTTCGTTCTAATAACTCCTTCCTGACTTTCGACCAACATCACTACTTCTTATTTCAGACAGAAGATCAAAAATGCATAATTACTTTGTAAATAGACATTTAACTTGATTTCTAACTTAAATGAGGATTAAAAAAAATCATTAATACTGTTTCACAGTTGATTTAAAATGAGTGGTTCACTTCAACATTTAGAAATGGTATGAACTAAACACACTTTTGATTTATCAAGATATTGTAAAATAGTAATGATAATATAAAAGAAGAGTGTTATTTCAATTGATTACTTCAGGATACAATTAGACAGTCTCTGGATGAGCTAATTTGTATTTCTGGATTCAAATCAATGAAATAACAGTTCCTGTCCCATGAAGGTCCTCAGAGGCAGGTTTTGGTCGGAGGCCGAGTTCACTACAGCAGCTTGAGTAGGGAGACCCAGACATCTCTTTCCACTGCCACCTCTTCTAGCTCTACTGGGGGGACCCCAAGGTGTTCCCAAGCCAATTGAGAGACATAGTCTCTCCAGCATGTCCTGGGTCTTCCCCGGGGTCTCCTCCCTGTCGTTTTTATATCATTTCTTCCATTTACTTTTTCATTTTATATGCTTTTTTATACGATTGGCTATTGTTGTCTGTACCTCATCTGTGTTCTTTGTTTAAAACAGGTTTCTCTTGTAAATGAGTCCTTGTGGCTCCATGAGACTAACCTGTATAAATAAAGGTTGGATGAAAAAAGTATACAACTAAAAAAAACATTTTGGTGTTGTTTTGTATCTATTCACTGAGTAATGATTCTTTTTCTGACATATTTCTGGGTAAAACCAAGTATGCAATGTGACAAATTTGAGTGCAACACCATTATAAACAAAGTGCCTCACGGGCAGGCTCTGTTGGTTTAGTAGTATGCAATCATAGTTTTAGTGGTTGTTGGGTTTTTTTTTTCTCGTTCTATTGTGTGAATTTACGTCATCTATCATTTGTCAATCAAACCAAAACCAGTGCTTTAGCTTTTCACAGCTTCTCTATTTTCTCTTTCAGTTTTTGGTGTTTCTTAAGCCTTGTGCGTTTCTTTTGAATATAGTTTGTATCTGCCAAGTTCAGACTTACAAAATCTTATACAGCTTTAATCCAACATCACAGCACCAGGAGTGTCAGAAGAACTGTGCAGGAACTGATTGCACAAAACGTAATTTGTGCATAG